CAATGTATTTTAATAACACAGTCTAAAGATGTGTATAAGAGACAGGTTATGGGGCATGCGCACCCCACGAACCCCTAGTAATAAATAATGACAGTTACACGGGAAAGAGACATAGATGCCTTAAGACAAGAGTAAATGAGGTTGCTCTCAAATTAGACAGCAGTATTCATAAGCACATACAACAATGTGAGGGTTTTAACGATATCATTGAAATAAACCATTTTTTCTGCAAACTGTAAATATCTCGTCACTCAAGCAAACTTTCAAATTTCATAAAACCAAAATTCTGTATGGCTGCCTACATTTGTCACAAATTTGATTTATGGATGCTTTGGCCATTAAGCGTGTCAAGCCTGTATTAAACACTGGGTTGAGAGCAACTAAAGAGTTTCATTAATTACATAATTTTTAATTGTTACCACTTATCTTGTATCTTGTAAGCATTTGCTATTGGTATAAGTGTATTTCACTGTATTATCTTATTGTTTATTTCATTTCATGAGACTTCCATTCAGCTAGCACTTCTATATTTGTTGTTTTTTTCGTTGTTCATGACAATAAGTTGGCGAGTTGAATGGTCGAGCAGTCAAGGCAAGAGCTCCACAACCTACAGTCATAATATCGGCGCTCGTTCAATGGTGGGAAAAAAGTTTTCTTAGATAAGGACTATAAACCGGTGGCCCAGTGTACACTTTTTGCATTTAATAAAACATAGTACATAGTCGAAAGTTACCCCGGTTTACTGGTCCATACAGCTCCTGTTGTGAAAAGTAGCTGGTACCGGTTTACCAAATGACCTACTTCATGTAAGACACACATCATTTTATATTACCTCATTATAATTGGCCAGTTCTATTTATTTTTTTTTAATCTGATTGGTTGGTTTTTTTTTTTATTACCTTTTGTTATACTATTTTAAATATGCATGGATGGGTGTGGTTTTCTTAAACACGATCAAATAGATCGAAAGATTTAATTTTAAAATGTCTGTCTTTTTTGGAGTTTTTTTTTTTGTTTTTGTTTTTTTTTTTCATTCAACGCGGTTCGCTATTTCATTGACAGACTGAACTTAACATATATAAGACGTTTGCACAATAATGATAGAATTAAATTATCGTTTACCTTTAATATATATATAGATAGAGAAAAACCTACATTAACATGTCCATCTGATGAGACTGTGGATACTAACAATACAATGGTGTCAGTTGACTATTCAAGTGAAACATATGCGAATGACAACTCTGGAGATGTTCCTGAAATTTCACCTGATCCCAATGACATATTTCCACGTGACCTTGCAATTGGAAAAACCAAATTTCCCTTTAGAGCTACAGATGATTATAACAATACAATTACCTGTACGTTTACAATAACGGTCCAAGGTTAGTACTAAGACTTTTTATGCATAATTGAATATTAAATTGAGTGTATACGTAGGTCTTTACTCCAATTCGCCTATTGTTACTGGCTTTTCCCAGTAAGTGGAAAAGGGGATTAGCCTTTATCTGGTAAATAATATCTTAGGTTTTCACACCTATTACATAATCAGTGTTTATGGCATAAATTATATATTGGGCTACGAATAATGTTTTATTTCATTATTTTGAACGTTTTCACACTTTCCCCGTTAAAATTGGCCAAAGTACGGAAGATATGATATTACTGATTGTTTTTGGTAAGGTTTTGGTCCGCTATTCAATATAATAAAAGCAGTGTTTATGGCATAAATTATATATTGGGCTACGAATAATATTTTATTTCATTATTTTGAACGTCTTCACGCTTTCCCCGTTAAAATTGTCCAAAGTACGGAAGATATGATATTACTCATTGATTTTGGTACGGTTTTGGTCCGCTATTCAATATAATACCCTATAGTACTCCTCTGTTGATTGCCATTCAAACAATGCCTTACTTATCAGCCAGTGAAACGTGGTACGACGGAATAGAAACACATTCATGTATTAGTACGGGGTTTATGGGAGATTTGGCATATGGCATTTTTACACAGGTTGGAGGTTCATTAGCTTTATATACTTAAAAAAAGTGTTTTAGTGGTTGTAATTTAATGATTATAGTTACCCAGTCCTACAAACAACCAACTGCAATAATTTTTTTTAACGTAATGGTTATGCGATTTCGTGTTTGTCCCAATATATTTAGATCATTTAAGTTCAAAATAATCGCCTAATGAATTTGTAATAATTTCCTAATTAGATGTACAGTATACATAATATATATTTTTAGTTTTTGTTTGTTTTTTTTTTACAATGGATTTACTGTTTTATGTTTGCTACAATTTTAGATCAATGTATTTTAATAACACAGTCTAATACAAATAATCAATTAAACATTTATTTTATATATACACCAAATTTTAGTAGTATTTCCCCTCATTTCACAATGTATTATATTGTAATTATGTGTATACAATTTAATTTAATACATAAAAGAACATATAATGGTGTCAAATAGGCCCACCAGAAGCAAGCTATAGCACAAGCATGTGAACTGTGATCTTACAAATCAATTATAAATACTAATAATAATATAGTTAATCATTAAAAAAAAATCTACTAATTTAATTAACAATTCAGTCACAATTGTAGATACCCATGTTCGCATGCGTACGCGCACATATGCCTACAATGTAATAGTGCGGTAAGTATGCTATTTTATTTTCCTTTATTTTTTTATGTTAGTTTTTATCATATGTATTCATTTTATCATCTGTATTCATGATTGACAATGCAAGTCCAATGGGTCTTCAGGGTAATTAGGCATGCCAATTTATTTGGCTGAATACTGAT